GTATTAATACAATATTAATTTCCTGCTGTCAAATGACAAGTCGCATATGATAAAACTTTATTCGAACTCATGATTGAAAATAAAAGTTTTTCAAGGATAAACTTGAAAAACAGGATTTGTAACAATAGCGAAGAAATTCGAACAAGTCTATTAAAAATCATAGAGTATAAATATTTCATGATGTATTTATCTCTTGACATCTTGTATCAGATTTTTGTTCATTTCGAAATATTAAAAATAAAATCTTATGATATGCAATTATTTCAGGGGAGGACCATCGATTACTGGAGGACTTACGATTAATTTCACGATTCACTTAAAACAATTTAAATTTCACAATTCGTGCTACTTTTTTTTATCGTTCTTTAAATCAACCAAATCAACGATATTCGCACAAACACACATTTATATATCATACATTTGTTCTGTCCCATTCTGAGTTGTTCTGCTTTCGCTTGCGTAAAAGTATTTGTTTTGTCATACTTTCAGGCTACTTTCGATAAACTCGATCTATTAAATCAATTCATTATCGATAACTTATAACTTCCAATTGGATGTAATAAACGATTTCAATTCTTGTGCGTTGTGTGTGTGTGATCGTTGTGATCAGTAAGTTCAATTACAAGAAAATCACGAGAAAATCAACGAACATGATCATATCAAAGCGCCTTGAGAAAATTTAATAAACATTTACAGCAAGACATAATGTATTGTATGTTTATAGGGTTAATGAACGGAGAGAAATAAAAGAGAGATGTAAAACGTGTGCAAAAGAAATCCGTGATAAACAAACAGCAATTCAGTCTAAGACGTTCATTGAAGAAAGTCCAGATTGCGTGATGGTCAAATGAATTCTCTGATCATACAAATTTTCCAACGATCAAATGATCGTTTTTTTTTTTGCCATTTCGCGGAACGCAATTAAAAGTAAGAGTATGAAAGTAATAAAAGAGTATGAAAGAAGACTTTGAATTTTTCTTTTACTTTATTTATAGTAACGCTTTACCAGTAATTCTTCTATTACTATATTTCTTGCATATCCTCCTCTTTTCACTATTTTATTCTTCTTTTACTACTACTACTACTACTACTACTACTACTACTACTACTACTACTACTACTACTCTCTCTCTCTCTCTCTCTCTTCTGCTCTCATGCACTAATTATCCTGCTATCTACCTTATATCTCGTCAAAGAACAATAAATCACGTCTATTATTGCACAGTAGGTACATGTCTTAAATTAAACCATATACAAAACTAGATTCATTCGTTCCAAGTCGTTTCATACTTATCTTTAATCAAAATCAACTGATGCATATTTAGGCCCGTTTTCACAACATATGATTATCTACTAGATTAAAGGTTACCAACAGATTCATCAATGAAATTCATTCATGAAGTAACCATATATTGTGAAATCGGGCCTTACAATGCTATAAACGTATTCTGTTTAAACTATTTTTACAATTTCAATAATTACTTGTTATCTATTAATTAAAAAAATTTACATATTTAAGTATATAAAAGAATAGCATAAGCTATTATTTACAATACAGATCTATTTAAATAATATTATTATATCGGAAAAATTTTGTTTCTTCGCGAGATTTACGTGTAAATAAGGAACTCCTAAATTGAGCGCAAACACATGTTTTAACACATTTCCATCTAATCCATTCTAATTCTCTTCAAATGTAATTAATTCTTTAAAAATACAAATATATGAATCGCTAAATGTATAATAATTTACATTAATCACAAAAAAATCAGTAGGTTTCATTAAGTCTTGGCAAAGTAATACATAGATAACTGACTAAATAATGACTGAAAAATCGATAATCAAAGAATAATAATTTAATATTTATAGAACAATTATATAATTGTATAGTACAACAATTGTATAATACAATGTATAGTACAACAATTGTATAATACAACAATTATTGTTGTATTATATAAAAAACACTATTATACAATAGATAGGAAGAAAATTATAAGTAGAAGAATACGGACATCCATAGTGGGATAGTGTAACAATAGTTGTGTAGAGTGTGTTGCAAGGAGTGCATAGTATTCCTAGCAACAGACCTAGTATCATATAAGGATGGTACATTTTATTGATAATTGTGTTGAGTTCAGCCAAATCATGTGACATCAAAGAAACGTAAATCAGCGGATTAACAATTACATCTTATCATTGAAACAATATGAGTGTCATCTTCCAATCGAATTTTCTGTTCATATGTACAGGTTCATATGTACTATTTAAGATAAATCGCAACGCGATTAATAATTGAAATGAATAATTAAAAAATTAGCAAGCACCATATGTTTTGCTTATTATTTTGTTTGTTCTTGCCTCGAAATTTCGAAATAATAATCGGAAAACACTGTTTTAATGTCAATTTTCTTCATAAATAATAATATGTTTAAGACAGATAATACTTTATATAAACTCTCATTAGCTAAAATTTATTTTTATTTAATTGACAAATAATATTTGTCTTCCTAGATTAGATTCCTCTCTTTCTTATAAATTAGTTTTATAAAATTCTACAAGATTATTGTAAAAATTATACAGTCTTCAAGAATTTGAACTAAATACTATCATTCTTAATATTGCATTCAATAAGTTTTTGAATATTTCAGTCAGAAGAAGAACATTTGACAGTTCTCATTTGTCATTCGTATATACAAATTCAATACTATTCAATTACTTTTATTATATTTTTATCGTATTTTTATCGTTTTTAAAGAGTTAGCTAGCTATAATTAAATTTAATTCAATCGACATGTATCTATAAATGTGTTGTCTTAAGCAGAGAGTTGGAAAGTAACATACTACTAACTTGTAATGCCTTTTCATTACTTTTCTTCAGTAACGATCGTTACTTTTTTCTATCTTTAATGGTAATGATAACGTCATATATTTTTGCAATAACGATAACGATTCAGTCGTTTTTTTTATCATTATTTTAATTTTTATTGGATGGGTCGGATTAGATTATATTTCGATATTGCTAGCGTTAAAAGATGTTTCGTTTTTGTATACCTAGAAGTGTACTTTTAATTACATCTAAGTTATGTCGTTGTTATAACAAATGAACGCAATACTTAAAATATTTTTAAATACTTGTGTAAATTTATAAATATACATTTACAATTTAACATTATATTATGTATAATAATATTATTTACAATAAATATAATTATAAAATGTTTATCCTTTCTCATTTTTATTTTTTAAAAAGTATTTTATATTTTAGACTGCATTCCAGTAGTTACTATGTCTCTCAGTGTTGAAAAATCTGTAATTCACGTTATATACTATGGATTTTCAATAGTGAAACTTGAAATGCATTCTTAATAATAATATTAAAGTTTAAAAACAATTTTTAATTTAAATTTGATTATTTAGCTCCTGACGATTGTTCCTACTAGATTCGGTCGATTTTTTGTGCGTCAAATAAGCTTAATTTTATCAACATTGTATGTGAGAGAGAGTTAACTTAACAATTTCCCGAAAAGTAACGATCGTTATTTTTTCAAATGGTAACGGTAACGCGTTACTTTTTAAAATGAATACGTAGTAATTAGTAATGGTAACGGTAACGAGTTATTTTCAATAAAAAATAATTGTAACGGTCACGCGTTATTTTTTTTAAGGTAACATTCCCAACTCTGGTCTTAAGTGAACAAATGCCGCTTGTAAAGTGTTCTACGCGACTAAGAGTACTTCTTAAAATAAAATTAATGAATAAAATCTATCAAGAAAGCATTGATTCCTTTACCAAAAAAATATCAATGAAACTATATCTTTTGAAATAAAATTTAAATACAATAGTAAAACCAAAAATTGAAAAAAGATTTTCACTGAAATAAATGTTATGAAAAAAAAAATATATATAAAAATATATAGTTTTTCTTTTTATATATAT